CGGAATGGGATCCTTTACTCTTCTTTGCATTTAAAATACTTCAGTATACATGTATTTTTCCCAAATAGTACAATTTCTTAAGTTGAATGAACAAATAAAATAGAAAAAAGTAGCGATCTTTAGAGAGAGAAGACCTAGATCGGAATGTGTGTGGCCGGTTTCGGTGGCTTCTAAAGCACCAGAGCCGTGCTCCTCTTGTTTTTTCGTTTGCAAGTCTATGTAGTGTCGATCTCTCCCAAAACTTGTCTCGGTTGATAAACTTTTATCCAGATCTGAATTTGCTTTCGTCTTTGCGGTTGGTCGTTGGTGGATGTTTCGGCGGTTCCGTAACCGGCCTATCTGGCTTTGGCCTTGATGTCGCTTCGTTCTCTCTTCATTCTCCGCTAGTCTGTGGCGTGTTCTCGGTTGGTTTGACTTGTTGTTGTTTCAAGCTCCTTTCTCTGTCTCATGTGAAGACCCAACTTTGTTTGGATTATCCTCTCCTCTGCGTTGACCGTTCTGATTGGTGTTGAAGGTTTCTTTGAAGTGGTTTCATGTATGTGAGGCTTCAGGTGCTTTGTGGAAAATGATCGTGCAGTTGTCTTGGATGTTTGGATTAAACTCATGGCTTCGCCGGTTGTAAGTGACCTGAGATAAGTGAGAGATTGAAAGTTTCCTGTGACATGTGACTTGTTTCCTCTTGCCATTTAGTTTCTTGTTAGTTTGGTCGTCCGTCTTTATAAGCTTGCAGGATCCGATTGAAAGTTTAAGAGGTTTTGTTTGTTTTGGGTAGTGATCTAGGTTTTGTAGTTGTCTTTCGATTTGTTTGTGGTTTTCTTCTTTTTGCTTTTAGTTTCGATTGGTTTCCCTTAAACTTTAGAGTTTGGCTTCCCGTAAAACTCTCGGGCTCTATTTCTGGGTTATCGAGCTTTGTATCTTATCTTTTATTTTTTTATGTTTAATATGAATCTTTCAGTGAAAAAAAAAATACAATTCTTAAGTCCAAAATATATAATTTAGAGTAACCGTAGAATAATAATATATAGTATAAATATTTGGTAACTCATTTTTTTATACGGATAACAATATGTTTTTTCCCTTTTGTAAGAGATGTAGCATAATGCATGGCGAATATGAATACTTTACGGGATAGTAAGTTAGTGTCGGAGCAATAA